CCACCAGGGGGCGGGGCTGGCTGGCATGTGGTGCTGGGGGATTGAACCGCGGTCCCTGTGCTTTGCTAAGCTTGTTCTAAGAAGGTGTTTTAGACCACTGAGCCATCTCACCAGCCCCAAGCCCTGTTATTTTTAAATAACTTGGAAATGATTAGTTTTTGTGTGCAGGATTTTGCTTTTTTTCTGCTTTTCAGTACTGAGTATCAGATCCAGGGACTCATGCATGCTAGGCAAATGCTGTAGCGCTAGGCTATATCCCCAACCTTTTTCGTTTGTTTTGAGATAGATCTTGCTATGTAGCCCATTCTGGCCTCAAACTCATGGTGATCTTCTTGCTTCAGCTTCCTGAGTGCTGGGATTACTTATAAGCATGTGCCACCGTATTGATTTTTTGTTTTTCCAATGTCTTGCTAAATTGCTTAGGCTGACCTTGATTCTCCTGCACCACCACACCTAGCTAAGACTCAGCTTTTTTTGGAGATAGTATCATGCTTTGTAGTGTAGGTTGACCTTGAACTCACTGTGTAGCCCATGCTGGGCTTGAAATCAAAGCAGTCCTCCTGGCTCAGCCTCCCAAATTCTGATATTACAGCTGTGTATCACCATGCCTGGCTCTAAGACTTAGCTGTTGAATGACTGGGTTAAAAGAGAATGTTAGAATGAGATTTCTGGTTAAAGGACATGAACACTTAAAAAGGCTTTTGCTGACTGGTGCAGTGGCACAAGCCTATAATCCCAGCTACTCAGGAAGTTAAGACAGAAGGACTAGGTTTGAGGCTGGTCTGAGCAATCCTGGAAGACCCTTTCTCAAAATTAAAAAGAATAAAGGGCCAGAGATATAGTTCAGTGACATAAGCACCTGTCTGGCAAATACAAGGTCCTGAGTTCAATTCCCGATGCCAAAAAAATAGAATAGAATAAAAATATAAAAAAGATGCCATGTATGGTAGTACATACCTATAATCTCAGCACTCCAGAGGCTGAGGCAGAAAAATTGCCATTTGTTTGAGGCTAGCCTGGATTACTTCGTATGACCCTGTCACACACACACACACACACACACACACACACACACACACAGATGGGTTGTAACTCAGTGGAAAGGTCCTGAGTATAATCTTCATGTGTATGCATGCATGTGCATACCAGAAGGCAAATAAAAAATAAAAGCTTTTGCTGTATATTGTGAAAGTTATTTTAACTTCCTAGGAAAAAGGAATTTAAGGTTAAGTACTAGAGTCAGGGAAAGAAGGTGAGAAAAAGATGTCTGTATAGCGTACGAACTTGCTAGCTCAAAACCTAAACAGTTTGGACCTTGCTCAGAAGCCCACCTCTCCCCTTGCCCCAGAACCCCCCAGACTGGAAGGAGTAGCTCCCCTCACCAGGGCCCTCTTGCCTCTGCAGGATGATGAGATCAACCAGCAGAGCCAGCTCATTGAGAAACTCAAGCAGCAGATGTTGGACCAGGAAGAGGTAATGGGAGGGGGAAAGACGCTGGAGCAAAGGTCTTTGTGTTTGTCCCTGCAAGACCTAAAAACACATTTTTATTTTTATTTATTTATTTATTTATTTGTGTGTGTGTGGCCAGCTCAGCCCACCAGGGAGCAGGGCTGGCTGGCATGTGTTGCTGGGGGATTGAACCGCGGTCCCTGTGCTTTGCTAAGCTTGTTCTAAGTAGGTACTTTAGACCTCTGAGCCATCTCACCAGCCCAAAACACCTCTTTAAATAAAATCTGATGGAAGAAAGGACATTCTGTTCAGGGCTAGTCAGCCCCCAAAACTGGTGGAGTCTGGGAACTTCCCTGGGGCTGTTCTTGAAGCCCAGATGTTGGTGTTGAGGTGTCTCTCTATTCTGTTTCCTGATTTCTGTGGGCCCCATTCCTACTTCTGGGTTCAATCCTGTGGGAGGCTCAGCTTCCCTAGCCTCCAGGGCCATAGACATGGTCATTAGCAACAGCTCCCTCCCCTCCTCCTGTGAAGCTGCTGGTGTCCACACGAGGAGACAATGAGAAGGTCCAGCGGGAGCTGAGCCACCTGCAATCGGAGAATGATGCTGCGAAGGACGAGGTGAAGGAAGTGCTGCAGGCCCTCGAAGAGCTGGCAGTGAACTATGACCAGAAGTCCCAGGAGGTGGAGGAGAAGAGCCAGCAAAACCAGCTTCTAGTGGATGAGCTATCTCAGAAGGTGGTGAGTGGCCTGCTAGTATTCCAAGGGCTCCCTGACCTCAGACACCTTCCGTGTCCAAGGTGTGTGGTTCTCATGTGTCTCATGTGTGCACTGTGGTCCAGTGTGTCATGATGCCCGCCCACTCTGCAACTGCACTTTGCCCTCCTGGTCCTTCTGTCTTCCAGACACTCCTGCAGGGCCTGTGCTCCTCTTGTGGAAGCCCTCGGGGTCATGCTTGAAGTGGGGAGGGGAGCAAGAGGATGGTGATGGGAATGACTTGAGGGCTGTCCTCAGGCCACCATGCTGTCTCTGGAGTCTGAGCTGCAGCGGCTCCAGGAGGTCAGTGGACACCAGCGAAAGCGAATTGCTGAAGTGCTGAACGGGTTGATGAAAGACCTGAGTGAGTTCAGTGTCATCGTGGGCAATGGCGAGATTAAACTGGTGAGTGGGGAGAGACAGCAGTCCTGTGCAGGACAGCAGAGGGGGGCCTTCCAGCCCCTCTGCGATACTGAGACAGGTGGGCCACAGGGTGAGGAAACGTGATTTCAGTCTAGTCTCAAGAAACCAGGCAAAGGTTTGTAGAGACTCAACTGAAGAATACATTCTAAAGTATACAAATAAAGAAGCAATAAAGGCTGGGGAGATGGCTGGGTAGAATAAGCGCTTGCCTGGCAAGGACAAAGACCTGAGTTCAATCCCCAGTTCTGCCAAAAAAAAAAAAAAAAAAAGAAGCAATAAAGATGAACTCGTAACAGGATCTAGTAGTGGGGAGAAGGTTAAGAAAAATATATGAAAATCTGTACAAGTGAGAATGAGGGACCTGGTGATCAAGCAGATCGATTTGCTTGAGAAGAAAATCAAGCTGGACATGGTGGTAGACACCTGTAGTCTCAGCTTCTCTGGAGGCTAAGGCAGGAGGTTTGCTTGAGCTCAGGAGTTTGAAACCAGTCTGGGAAAACAAAGACCCTGACTCAAAAAGAAAATTGTATTGCTTTTTAAGGTTGAAGAGGACTGTGGGAACTCAAATCTGTAAGTGTAGATAAAAGGCTTTAATATGGAATTCCAGATGTTCAAGAGCCACTAATGGTCATTTGGAAATACCCATCCCACCTGAGCCTCTGTTTGTGGGTTGTGCAAAAGGAAGGGAGTGGGTTGCAGCTTCTCTGTATGGGGGCAACTTCTCCTCTGTCCTCTCTCAGCCGGTGGAGATCAGTGGGGCCATTGAGGAGGAGTTCACCGTGGCCCGACTCTACATCAGCAAAATCAAGTCAGAGGTCAAGTCAGTGGTCAAGCGGTGTCGGCAGCTGGAGAACCTGCAGGTGGAATGTCATCGCAAGATGGAGGTGACTGGGCGGGAGCTTTCGTCTTGCCAGCTCCTCATCTCGCAGGTGAGTACCTGACTGTAAGAGTGTTGAGTGCCATGGGAGAAAGAAGGCTGTTCTGTGGCTCTGGGTGAAACTCCCAACTTGCAGCCTCTGTCAGCATTAGGGTCAACTGAAATCAAGGGCAGGAGAGCTAGGATGGTAGAGGGGAAGATCTAGCCAAATAAGTAAAGGTGCACTGTCCTCTGAGCTGAGTTTTTTTTTTTTTTTTTTTTTTTTTTTTTTGGTATTTTAGGGAAGGGTCTACAGTGTGTTCAGGGTCTCACTACTAGATTAGACTCATAGTGATCTGCTTCTTCACAGCCTCCCAAGAGCCAGGATTACAGGCGCGTGCCACCACACTCAGTCTCAATTGCTATCTCAGTGTGCCCTGAGGGCGGGGCTGGCATGGCAGGCCTGGGGGATTGAACCCCTGGCCCCTGTACCTGCTTGCAGGCACTTTAATCCGCTGAGCTATTTGGCTGACCCTTGAGCTGAGTCTAAAGGAAGACTACAGGAATAGCCCCTCACCCTTTATCCTCCTGGAAGGCCCAGCAGGCGGGGAGCACTTAGGAGAGCTGGAGTGCACAGAGGTGTGTGGCTTGGGGTTGTGTCCTTTGCTCTGGTTATCTCCTTTCTCTTGCCAACTTGCTTCCACCAGCATGAGGCTAAGATCCGCTCGCTTACGGAATACATGCAGAGTGTGGAGCTGAAGAAGCGGCACCTGGAAGAGTCCTATGACTCCCTGAGTGATGAGCTGGCCAAGCTCCAGGCCCAGGGTAAGGCCTTCATAGACCTTTATCTCACTCATCCTGGGACCTAAGATCCCAGGGAACAGGGAGGGAAAGTCACAAACCCCAGAAGCAACCGCCCAACAGCCCGTCACCCAAAGGATTAGCTTGAAGTGCAGGTGCCAGTTCATGCCATTTAGCCAAGCTTTTATGTGAATCATAATGCCTCCCATCTCTGTCCCTGTCATGTCAGATCAGACTTTGCTAACCCAGAAGAACATTCTGTGGTCTATCCCCTGCCTGGAGCTCTGCCTCAACATGAAGTTCTTTCTGTAGGAGGCAGGTTTGGTACACACTTTCTTCCCCTTTTCCCTTAGAAACTGTGCATGAAGTGGCCCTGAAGGACAAGGAGCCAGACACACAGGACGCAGATGACGTGAAGGTGAGTGGGGCAGGTGTGGGGGTGCCTGGGGCCTGCAAGTGAGGGCTGTGCTAGCCCGGGAGTCTGGCTCTGAGCTTGGGTGGGGGCTGTTTGCAGAAGGCCCTGGAGCTACAGATGGAGAGTCACCGGGAGGCCCATCACCGGCAGCTGGCCCGGCTCCGGGATGAGATCAACGAGAAGCAGAAGACCATTGATGAACTCAAAGAGTAAGGATCGGAGAGGGTGACTGGAGTCCGCACTGCACCCTTTTACCTGGCTGTGCCCACTCCATCCTCCCTTGGGAATAGATTCCTTCCCTTTCACATGTCATTCCTCAACAGTGACATAACTTTGCCATGCAGCTCCAGCAGATACAAGGCACAAGGACTAGTCCCTCTCCTTGATGGGAGCTCAGAGCTCCTTATTGGCGTGGAGATAGTGGTGAGAGTGGCTAAAGGAAGAAGCGTTAGCTTTTGTTTTAAATTAATGTCATTGGTACCTATTAGATAGATACACAGATATAAGAGCCATGCTCCCCACAGTGCATTTGTACCTGTACATGACATATACCTGGATTCTTTTATTCCCATTTCCCTCCCTTCCCTTGAACACCTCCTCTGTCCTTATCTACAAAAGCTTTGTTTCCATTTTTCCTTGTCTTTTCCCACCTTCTTTCCTTTCCCTCTTGCCCCTGCTTAGTTCCCCTTCCCACCTGAGTATTTTCTTCCTATTTTGCAAGATCTATTACACATTTTGTTCCCTATTCACACTTTCAGTTTCTCACACCAGAGAAACCATGTGATATTTGAACACGTGTGTCTGACTTACTTCACTTAAGAGTATGGCCTCAGGTACATCTCTTTACCTAGAAACGTCTCTAACTTACCCTTCTTTATGGCAGAGTGGTACTCCATTGTATAAAAACCCCTCACCTTTATCAGTTTATCAGTTGATGGACATTTGGGCTATTTTCAAGATTTGGGTATTTCTTATAAACTGCTATTATAAACATGGGTGTTTATATCCCTGTGGTATAATGCTTCTTTTAGGAAGATACCAAGAAGGAGAATACCTGGGTCCAATGGGACCTCCAGTCCTAGTGTTTTGAGGAATGTACACACTGACAGTGGTTGAACCAGTCTACACTCCCACCAAAACAGTGGAAAGGGGTTCTTTTTTCCCCACAGCCCCTCCAGCATTTATTTTTTTATTTATTTATTTTTTATGTACCTTAGTACGGGGTCTACAAGGTCTCACTACACAGATTAGACTTGTAGCGATTCTCCTGTTTTCAGCCTCCCAAGTGCTGAGATTACAGGTGCGCGCAACCACACCCAGTCTCAGCATGCCATCTCGGAATGCCCCAGGGGTGGAGCTGGCATGGCACGCCAGGGATTGAACCCTGGTCCCTGCACCTGCCTAAGCAGGTTCTTTAATCTGCTGAGATACTTGACCAGCCCTTCCTCCAACATGTTTTGTGTTTTTTTTTTTTTTTTTTTGCGGTGCTGGGGATTGAACTCAAGACCCTGTGTTTGCCAGGCAAGTGCTTATTCTACTGAGCTATCTCCCCAGCCCCTCTCCAGCATTTATTATTGGTTGACTTCTTGATATTAGCCATTCTTTCTGGAGTGAGATGCAATCTCAGTGTTGTTTCATTTACATCTCTTGAATGATCAGTGATGCTGAACATTTTTCTTTTTTTTTTTTTTTAAATATTTATTTATTTTTATTTATTACATTTATTTATTGTGTGTGTTTGTGGCCAGCTCAGCCCACCAGGGGACGGGGCTGGCTGGCATGTGCTGGGGATCGAACCGCGGTCCCTGTGCTTTGCCAAGCTTGTTTCAAGTAGGTGCTTTAGACCACTGAGCCATCTCTCCAGCCCAACATTTTTCATATATTCATTTGTCATTTGTACTTCTTCATCTGAAAAGTGTCATTTCAGATGCCCATTTTTGGATTGGGTCTTTAAATTTGGGGGGTCTGATATTTTTAGTTCTTCATATATTACTAGATATTACTCCTTTGTCTGAGAAACAACTGGCAAAATTTTTTTCCCACATTGGGGGTTGTCTCTTCATTCCGTTGGTGTTTCTTTTGATGTACAATAGCTTTTTAATAAGATGAGATCCTAGTGGTTGATACTTTGTGGTATTTCCCATGCAGTCAGGATTTTTCTATAAAGTCTTTGCCTCTTCAAAGGCATTCAAGAGTTATACATATTTTATCTTCCAGCAGATTGAGTGTTTCTATTTTAATGTTTAGGTCTTTGATCCATTTTGAGTTTAGTTTAGTGCATGGTGAGAGACATGGGTCTGTTTAGTCTTTATCATATGGAAAGCCAGTTTTTCCAACACTCTTTAAAGAGGCTTTCAACCAGTGAAGATAATTGGCTCCTTTGTTAAAGATAAAGTGGTTGAGTGTGTCTGGCGTTTCTACATCATCTCATCCACTCTTTGACCCTCAGATCTGGTGTTTTTTTTTTTTTTTTTTTTTTTTTTGCTGGTGCCATGCTGTTTTTATCACAGTAGCTCTGTAGTGTAATTTCAGGTCAGGGATTGTGAGGCTCCTCTCTTGCCTTTGTTGAGATGCATCAGTTTTAAGTAGGTTCTCTCATATAAGAAGTAGGCACATGGGGGCTGGGGAGTTAGCTCAGTAGAATAAGTGCTTGCCTGGCAAGCTCAAGGGCCTGAGTTCAATCCCCAGTTCCACAAAAAAAAAAAAAAAAAAAAAAAAAAAAAAAAAAAAAAAAAAAAAAGAAGAAGTAGGCACATAAAAAAAGGAAAGAAATAGACAAATGTTTGAGGGTCTGTTCATCCCTGACTGCTCATCAATATCTTTTCTTTCCCCCAATACCTCCCATAGCCTAAATCAGAAGCTCCAGTTAGAGCTGGAGAAACTCCAGGCTGACTATGAGAAGCTCAAGAACGAAGAACATGAAAAGAGCACCAAGCTTCAGGAGCTGACGTGAGTGATGGGCATGCCAGCAGGCCCAGGCCACATAGGCTCAGCGCTCAGCACAGATGTGCTTGCAGAGGCAGAGCACCTGGGTAGCCATGATGTGGTGACTCACAGGACGCAAACTTTTTTTTTGTTTTTTGTTTTTTTACGGAAGGGTCTACAGGGTGTTCAGGGTGTCACTACTAGATCAGACTCATAGTGATCCACCTGTTTACAGCCTCCCAAGAGCTGGGATTATAGGCATGCACCACCACACCCAGTCTCAATTTTCCTGACACGGCAGGCCTGGGGATCGAACCCCTGGCCCCTGCGCCTGCTTGTAGATGCTTTAATTCGCTGAGCTATTTGGCTAGCCTACAGGACGTAAACTTGATGGGACAATCAGGAATGACTGCTGCCGAGTATCAGCTGACATGGGAGAGAGAGGCTTGTGATAGTCTGCGAAAGGTGGGGAGCAGATTACAAAGTGGTACGAGTTGCGTGATATAAAGTGTATCTGTGGTATGTATGTGCATAGAAGAAGCAGTCTGCTCGCATGGATGCCAGGGGTTCGTGGTGGTTTGATCTATACATAGTAAAATTGTAGCCTTTTTGTAAAATTTCTGTTATCTTTTTAAATTGCTTCCTAATTTTGCACAGTAGATACAAGTAACTGTATATAATAAATGAGGGCCAGCGAGATAGCTCAGCGATCTAAAGCGCCTGCTTAGGCAAGCTTAGGCAGGTGCAGGGAACCACAGTTAGATCCCTGGCATCACATGCTGTGCTAGCCCCGCCCTGAGGGTAGGCTGAGCCAAAAAAAATGATAGTACAATAGAGATCAAAGGAGTGGAGCAGCGG